CCAGATTCACTTCTTTGTCAAGTAATTTATTGAATGACTCAGAGGCCATTCAGGTCAACATAAAGGGGCTTTATTAGCAAAAAACCTAAGAATTCCACACTTTAACAGAAAGAAAGGAGCAAAAGGAAATTCTAGGCATAAGTTACTTTCCAGGCTTCCTCCTGACATTCTTCCTGCAGTCACAAGACGGAGTAATATCAAACTGAATTGTATTTTCCAAAGTCTGTTCCCAAAGTAAGCAACTAAGGACATAACTTTTATAGTGGTGAATTTGCTAGGCAAAAGGCAAGGCATATTGGCATACCCTTTAATCTCTGAGCCTCTGAAAACCAGTCCAAACCAGTTTCTCAGTGGTACTTGGAAGGTGTCAGACAAAGTTTAACACTCTGAGAAAGATGTTGTTTTTAGCAGTGGAGGATTCAGGTTCCCTACTATACACCTTGCTGTTAGCTGCAACCTTCCAAGCTAGAGGGCATCCACTAGCCCAGAAATTAGCTTCTGTACCTGCCTGACACAGTTAACATATTTTACATTAACACAAGTCAGAAGTTCATCAGCACTCCCAATTTTTTGTTCCTTCATTACAAGTAGCAATGGAGGCTTCTGGGAGAGATTTTGCCCAAGATTTTAGTAGAACTGTACAGTTATGATGTAGCAATATATAGAGAAGTAGTTAGCCGTGTTGGTCTGAACTCAGGAGGCAGGGTAGATGTGCATCTTTATAGACTAATTAAATAAGATGTATATAGAGCACAAGCTTTCATAACCCCAAGTTGAAACTATGAAAGTTCATTTAATCAGATGCTGTGAAAAGACATTCAGAAAGAAGAGTATAAGAAGGAGGAAGCAATATATAAACACTGTAAGGTAGTATAATTCACTGTCATCAATGGGCTTATAAAACTCAAGCAACTTTGGGATTCACATACAATGCATGGTTTTTATGGTCTGTCATCTGTATGAAGTAGTATCCAGATGTTATAAAGTAGCCTAGTGGTTAAAACACTTGTGCATGCTGTGAGAGGATCTGGGTTCTAGGCCTTGTTCTGCCTGAAGGGGTGCTAGGAGAGTGCCCAAACCAGCAAGCTGCAGGTTAAGCTGGGATTTGAAGCTGGACCACTGTGTAATGAAGGAAAAAGCAGCATGACACTATAGCTGGGTGATAAGGGCATTTCCCTGAGAGTAAGGAAACCTGGATTTCAATCCCCTCTGCCAGGACAGTTTTACATATTTTGCATTAAACAGTCATTGGATGAAAAATACCAGACAGTTGGAGATGTGAGTTTGCGTCCCTCACGTGGAGAAGCCAGAATTCCTGTGGATCGCACTCTTGGACTTGGGGCCTAAAATCTGCCTCGGTTCTTCTTTATGTAACTATGCCCCTTCATGGGTTGGAGCTTCTGGAGCTTTAGAAATCCCTTTGTTCTTCCTGAGCAGTAGAAATCTCTTTTGAGCATTTATGATCTGATGAGGTCAGGTGCCCAATTACAGTTTCAATTAAAGCATTAATTATTTGATACTGGCATTCTTGGAGAGAACATCATCATACGGCTAATAATAAAGCGCAGCAGCAGTTCTACACTTTCAGAGTGAACAGGCTGTTTATGTCATTGCTGGAGGTGAGGACAAAACTAACAGATCCTTGATTTACAAACAGTCTGTGATATTATAAATAAAACATGTAACCATTTCCCTACACTCCCAAATATGGACATGACTCCATGTGGCGTGATGGGAGAGATGCATTTCATAAACTGCACAGAAGATAGTAAATAAAACATACAGAAACTGGAATAGTTTAGGAAAAGCCTAAAACTAATCCTGTAATAATATGAAATGCTGATGAATACAATGTTTCTAATGGGATAAAATATATGTACTCTGGTTCCATCAATATAAATGATGACATGGCAAAAAAATTGCTGAATGCTGCCTCTGGTAAGAAAAAGCTCTGTTAAGGGACATAGTATCAGCTTTTTAAATCAGGCTCTTGATCAGTGCAAAAAGTGTGTTTGCTGCAAGAAACAAGTTTAAATGCATCTTTAACGTAGGGGCCCATACAAAATCTAGGCCCCTCTCATGGCTATCTTTGGCTTTTTGGTTTCCTGAATTATTTAGTGTACTTGAGTCCTTTCTGGAGGGTGAATTCTAGCTAGTGTGCTGCACTTCCCATGATGGGAAAAGGAAATTCATCTCAGAGAGGTAGATCCTTCAGGTACTATTTTAAAATGTTTGTTCTCTTCTCAGGGCCCAAAGTTTTTTGATTCTCCTTGAAAACTGATTGCTATTATGAAGTATAGTTGTAAAGTCTTTAATAACAGTAGGTAAAAAAACCACCTGTTTAATGACAGAGGTAAGGTAAAAGAGGCACCTGTCTGGTACGACAGGCTGCCTTTATTATAGTGCTGCCATCATCAGTAAGAGACCCTTCAGAGTTTTTGTGCAGTCCTAAGCCAGTTAGAGTTTTTCTGGACAAGACATGTATGATATAGTCTTAGAGGGAGGGGGCCATTCTCGAATTGTATACTATGGATATAATAAATATCACGTACCATTTTATAAGCTTAATGAGAACTTTTTAAAGATTCTTTTTGTTTGTTTACCCAGCTGCTCTGGCTGAGGTTTCTGAAATGGTGGCTCAGCTCCATGGCAATATGATAAAGATGGAGAACTTCCAGAAGCTGCATGAACTGAAGAAAGATTTGATAGGCATTGATAATCTGGTAATCCCGGGAAGGGTAAGTGATATACATTTAATGGCAGTACCACATTCGTACATGCTCTGAATTTATCAGCAAACTAGTTTCAGTACACGAGATAATGTT